AGGGATGCAGAGCTGGCTGGCTGCAGCAGGCATTGTGGCTAAGAGCCTTGATTCTGGGGGTCAGACTGGCTCAGGTTCAAGTCCTGGCTTTGCCACTTACAAACTCAGAGTTCCTTTATCCTTCTGAGCCTCAGTTTCCTCATCTGTCAAATAGGTATAAAATCATCATAGTATCTACATTCTTATAGGTTGTTGTAACGATTTAACAAACACACTGCACGCCTGCTATGTGCCAGGCACAGGTGTTGGGGACATACTTGTGAACAAGGCTCTGCCCTCATGGAGTTTGCATTCTAGTGATGTAATGAAAATAACATGCTAAGCACAGGTATTGGCTGCGGTCATGACTATCGGATCGGGGGCATAGTGAGAGATGAGGCTGGATTCTGATCACAAGGAATCTCAAAAGCCCCTTTGCAGGACAGGGGGTCCAGGAGAGTGGGCCCAGCTGCACCGGAGGCCTGGCTTGCCCAGCCTGACCCCTGGACCACGGCCCCACCCCCGCCCCTGCCCCCGCCCCAGGTACCAGCGGAAGTGGGATGAGCTGGCTGTGCAGGAGAAGCTGTTCCGCCAGGAGTTCGAGCAGCTGGCCAATAACAAGAAGGAGATTGTGGCCTTCCTCAAGCGCACGCTCAACCAGCAGGTGGACGAGATCACAGACCTCAACGAGCAGCTCCAGAACTTGCAGCTAGCCAAGGAGATGGAGAAGGATGCCTTCGAGGCGCAGCTAGCCCAGGTGCGCCACGAGTTCCAGGAGACCAAGGACCAGCTCACCACAGAGAACATCATCCTTGGTGAGGAGGGGACTGGCTGGCAAGCCTGCAGCACACATCCCAGCTCTATCACTGACCCTGTTTCTCACCTGGGGAAACAGGGATAATAGCCACGTGCTTCTTGGCACGCACTGTCTTTCTTAATTGTCCCAGCAATCCTGCAAAGCTGGAAACATCCCCCAACCAGTTTGTAGACAAGGAAGCACCTCAAAAGGTGAAGTGTCGTGACCAACGTCCCCCAGTTGGCAAGGGTTGTGAGGCTCAAATGTCAGACGGCATTAGAACCTAGCCCAGAGAATGTATACAGTCCAGCTGCCGGTTGGGCGTGGTGGCCTACGCCTGTAAACCCTGTGCTTTAGGAGGCCAAGGCAGGAGGACTGCTTGAGCGCAGGAGCTGGAGACAAGCCTAGGCAACATAGCAAGACTCCATCTCTACCAAAAAAAAAATACAAAAATTAGCCAGGTGTGGTGGTGCACGTATGTAGTCCCAGCTACTTGGGAGGCTGAGGTGGGAGGATCTCTTGAGCCTGGGAGGTTGAGGCTGCAGTGAGCTGTGATTGTGCCACTGCACTCTAGCCTGAGTGACAGAGTAAGATTCTGTCTCAAAAAAAAAAAAAAAAACTACAGTTGTTGTTGTCAGTCACTTTCATGAGAGTATCAAGGAAGGCTTCCTGAAGGAGGTGGAACCTGAACAAAACTTCATAAGATTCATGGAGGGGTGGAGGGAGGGCAACCCAGATGAAGGCAGTAAAGGTGACAGGGCCATGAAGTATAGGTGGGGGATGGTAGACCTGCCCCACTGAGACCGCACAGGGCACACAGGAAGGGACAGGGACCTAAGGGCCATCTTTAAGGTCCTCGCCAGGCCCTGTCCTCTGAGGCAGCCCCTTATTGGGCCTTGTGCCCTGTGACGGCCAGGGGGGAAGCTGGCAGCCCTGGAGGAGTTCCGGCTACAGAAAGAGGAGGTCACGGAGAAGTTTACGTTGCTGGAGGAGCAGGTGCGGAAGCAGGAGAATGAGTTCAGGGACTATGCGTACAACCTGGAGAAGAAGTCGGTGCTGGACAAGGACAGGTGGGCAAGCGGGGCACCCTTTGGGGCCTTTGGAGCCTTCATCCCTGGGACCACGAACATCCTAGTCTTCGGGCCCCAGCTTCTAACTGGGGCGTTAGATGGGGTAACTGACCCCTGCCCCCACAACCTGCTACTCCTTGGAATCCCAGCTGGTGATTATGAAGGGGTGGGAGAAAGGGAATAAGCTCCCAACTGCAGTCCTCACGCTGGCATTGGAGACTCCCAGGGCTTCCTTTTGCCACGTACTGGGATTAAATCATGTTTACTTAATAGGGGAGAGTACACCGAAATGGTACCAGTTACAAAAGTCCAGAGGATCTACAGGGAAAGCCTCCTGCCTATAGCCCCAACCCTCCCTGGGAGAGAGTATGCTGGTGTTTAACAGCCCTAGGTGTTCTGGGAACCTCACAGAGGAAAGGGTGTGCCCAGGGCTTGTGCCCGCTCTGTCTGACCCCTTCTCTCCCACCTTTCTGGCCAGACTGAGGAAAGAAATCATCCAACGCGTGAACCTCGTGGCCAGTGAGTTCCACAAGGTGACCACGAACCGGATGTGGGAGACAACGAAGCGGGCCATCAAAGAGAACAACGGCATTAGCCTGCAGATGGCCAGGGTCTCCCAGCAAGGCATGAAGCTGCTGCAGGAGAATGAGCAGCTCAAGGGAAGCCAGGGCAATCTGTGCAAACAGCTGGAGCTGCTGGAGAACACCCAGAAGGTCATGGCCAGGCACAAAAGAGGCCACCAGAAGGTGCGCCTGCAGGCCTCAGTACAGGACATTTGGCATACAAGGCAGGAGGCCGCCCTGGGGACCCTGCAGGGAAAGTCAAGTCAGGAGGGAGGGAGGCAGCAGAGAGAGGACTGGGCCTCCTGTGGGGGCTGCAGGGCGCTGGGCCTAGCTCTGGATTGTATTGACTTAAAACCCCCATAACTTATGGAAGCAAAGCCCAGTCCTGGAGAGCTCACTGGTCGCTCTGCACGGGGGAGCAGGGGAGGCCTGGCTGTGTCCGCAACTGGGGGACAGGGCTGGCTGAGGGCATGGCCACCTGTCCGCACCCGCAGATTATCCTCATGCTGACCAAGAAATGCCAGGAGCAGCAGCAGGACACCAAGGAGGCCGAGCAGCTGCGCCTCCTGCTGAGCCAGTTGGAGCAGAGATCCCTGCAGCTGCAGGGGGACAACCAGGCACTGAAGTGCGTGTGGCCCGCAGAGGGGTGGGTGGTGGGTGGCGGGTGAAGGCTGGGGCCAAGCTCCGACCCAGCTCTTTCTGATCTCACGACCCAGGCCAGTGACTTCCCCTCTCTAGAGGAGCCTGCCAGACAGGCTGAGCACTTGGGGCTGGATGGGGGCCCCTCTGGGCTTGAAGAGAAATGGCAGGGCCCCTGGCCCCGGGTGGCGCCAGTCCTGGGGAAGGGGGAAGGCTGTTGACTCATCCCAGTTGGGGTCCAGGAGCCAGAGAGACCAGCTGAGCTTGCAGCTGCGGCAGCAGCAGGGGGATCTGCAGCGGCTACAGCAGGAACTGGCTAATGAGCAGAAGGTTCGGGCCAGCCTGGAGGCGGCCCTGGTCCAGGCCACCTCCTTCCTCCAGAACATTCTGCAGGTGAGCAGAAGGGAGGGAGGGAGGGTGCAAGGGGGCGGGGGAGTGAGCCCAAGATGTAAGCTGCTTGCAGAGAAGAGGCTGCCTCAGGATCAGAGGCCCCTCTTTTCCCTGAGAGCCTCCTGGAAAGTCTGTCCTTCGCTGATTCTGGCCTTCAAAGATCCCTCCAAGGTCTTAAAGGAGCTGGATTCCTTCTCTGAGGCTCTGAAAGGTCTCAGGCCTCAGTCTTCCCGACTGGAGAATGGGTATCCCACCAGAGACAGGGAAAACTTCGTGGAAACGGGGCAATGAGGTTGGAGGTTCCTGGAGGAGGGTGGGTACTGGGGCCACTGTGGGCCTGCTGCCACCCCACCCTCACCAACAGATGCACCCCGATGAAGAGGACAGCGACTTCGACGTGACATTCCAGCTATGGCACAAGGAGATGCTGCAGCAACTGCTGGTCATGCTCAGCTCCACTGTGGTCCCGAGACCCCAGAAGGCTGTCTGTCCCCACCCGGAGTCACAGTCCCATGGCCCACCCAAGGAGAGGTGAACAAGTGGCCCTGTGTGGCCTCAGAGGCGGTCATAGAGAGCAGGGCAAAGGCATGCAGCCATGGGGACAGTGCTCGGCTCACCCTGGGCCAGAAACCTGGCTCGTGGAAGGCTCTGTGACCCTCGGTCCCCTCCCCACAGCCGGCCCAGCATCCAGCTGCCCAGGACTGGGTCTCTGCTGCCGCAGCTCTCTGACATCACCCACTACCAGCCAGGGGATCTAGGCCTGGTACCTCGCCAGGCCCACATCCCACCCAACCCCCAGGACCTCAGGCTGCTGTCATATATCACCCGTGTGGGGACCTTCCGGGCACATAGCAGCCCTGAGGTGAGGGTGCTAGGGGCCCCAGTTAGCCAGTCCTGGGAGCAAACTGAGGCTCTGCCAGGCCACAGCTGTGTGGTCCTGGGGATGTAACCAGACCTCTCTGAGCCTTCCCATCTGTAAAATGGGCTGAAGAAAGGGGTGGCCAAGCCTCAGTGGGCCAAGGCATGCCCACACATGCCCTGGGAGGGGGGTTGGCTGGACCCTGTTGTGCCCTCCCCCACCAGCAGAGTGGGATCCCCCTGAAAAGGCCTCAGCTTCCAAGCCAGCATCTTTTTTTTTTTTTTTTGAGACGGAGTCTCACTCTGTCACCCAGGCTGGAGTACAGTGCCGCAATCTCAGCTCATGGCAGTCTCAGCTTACGGCAACCTCCGCCTCCCGGGTTCAAGTGATTCTCCTGCCTCAGCCTCCCAAGTAGCTGGGATTACAGGCGTGCGCCACCACGCCTGGCTATTTTTTGTATTTTTAGTAGAGATGGGGTTTCACCATGTTGGCCAGGCTGGTCTCGAACTCCTGAGGTCAAGCAATCCCCCAGCTTCGGCCTCCTAAAGTGCTGGGATTACAGGCGTGAGCCACTGCGCCAGGCCTCCAAGCCAGCATCTTTAATCTTACAGATACGTGCCCCTGCTTCTCTAAAAAGGCTCAAAACGTTTAGTCTTCCTGAAGTTCCCCTACGTTCCAAATAGGACACAGAGAGAAGAACCTACTTCAGAAATGGACTGGTCCAGTCACAGTCACCCCCACTTTAATCCGCAGGCAGCCTGGAACAGTCTAGAGGACAGTTGTATAAAAAGTAGATACCAAGGCTGGCATGGCAGCTCTGTGGCCCTGGCTGGGTTGGTGGGTACTACAGTCAGGCGGGCAGCCATGGCCACTGGTGTCACGGCCCCAATGAGGGCCCCTGGCTTCGCTCACGAATGTGGTCCAAGATCAGGTCGGTGGCTCGATCCAGCAACAGAGGCAGCAGCTCCTGCTCAGCAGGGGAGAAGCAGCCCAGCACATGGGCCTGTACCGCCTCAGGGTGTGTCGGGCGCCCGATGCCCACCCGCAGCCTTGGCATTGCCTGTGGGAGAGCCAGAGAGGCCCAGGAAGCTTTGGCGAGGTGCTGGGGGACCCCTGGCCCACCCGACCCAGTTGCACAACAAAAGGGTAGACTCACATTGGAGTTGAGGCAGCTAATGCAGGAACGGACTCCATTGTGGCCCCTTCAAGGGATATGGGAGGGGCAGTTAGTGCCTCCCTGGGGCAGTGTCCTTCCACCCCTCCCTGCCCCGGCTGGGTCAGAGCAGCCCATTTCCTGTGGAGACTGGGTCAGCAGCCCTACTCCACCCCAACTGGGAGGCCTGAAGCCCTATCCCAACCCTGACCATCTCAGGACCTCACCTGGCACTGCCCCCCAGCTTCAGAGCCAGTCTCCCCAGGGGCTTGTCCAGCTCATCATGCACCAGGTACACTTCCTCGGCAGTCAGCCCAAACAGCTCCGCTTAGCACAGGGAAACGGCAGCCCTGGTTACTGCCCATCTGCCCAGAGGGTCACTGTCCAGACTCCCATGATGAGGGGCCACAACTAATCAATCCCACTTCACATATAAAGAAACGGAGGCCCCCACAAGTACCCAAGGCCATGCAGCAACTGGAGCTCAACAGGTACTTGGAGGTGAACCCGCGGATCTGTCACAGCCAGTCCCGCTCTGGCCCCTGCACTCCCACCCTCACCCCCCACCCCCTCGGCCGGCCCGCCCGTCCCTGGCGCTCTCAACTCACCAGCCCGGGCCACGCTGCGCCCGTTGGCGTTCATAAGCCGCCGTGGCCGGAGCAGGACCAGTTGGGCATCCCCCAGCGGGGCCAGGGCGAGGTCGGCGGCACAGTGCCGGTCGCGCGTCCAACTCTCCGCCACACCCAGCCGCCGCGCCAGCTGCCCCAGCACCGCCATGCCTACGCTGTGTCGCGTGCCGGGCAGTCCGGGATTCCCCAGGCCAGCCACCTGCGGGCGGCACCAGGGAAACTGAGGCCCAACAACTCTCGCCACCCCCGACCTCACAGCGTCCCGTGGGCTCCAAAGCAGAGGAGCGGAAACGCAGAGCAACGCTGCAGTGGGGAAGGGGCGCGAAGAAAGGGCCCAGAAACCCGACCCCCGAGAACTCCAGAAGGCTAGGCAGGCAGGGCGCCCTAGTGCAGGAACGGAGCTTCTGGAAGTTTGGAGCCCGTCGAGCACCGGACCCACCAGTTAAGAAAACAGAGCAGCAATTTGGGGGCACTCGGCTCCCGGGACATAATGGCCGAACTGAAGCTAGGGACCGGGAGCCCCTACGTCGCCGCCCCACGCCACTCACCATCCACCGCTTCCCCGGGGGCCGAGGCTCCAAAACGCATCGGCTCATGGCTCGACTCAGCCACTGTCCGGCGCCCAAAAAGCCGCGCGGCCTCATGCTGCCCCCATTCCCGGCCCGGACACCGCCCCCTGACGTCATCACCCTGCAGCAGCCAATCGCGTTGCCATTTGTTTGGCGTCGAACGCCAACGTCCAATCCGAGCCGGGCTGCATGGCCGCCATGCTTCTGAGGGGCGGAAGCGGCGAGGCGGTGGCCGAGTCCGGGAGCCCAGGCGCCTTCAGTGGCGCGGCGTCACAGTGTCCCTGAGGGGTTCGTGTGGGACGCTTGGAGCTCTTGCTTGACCTTCGGTTGGGAGGCGGAAGCCTTGTTATGCTCCCGGCTATGGCCCTGCCTCGCGGCGAAAATCTGGCAAGTCCTTTCCCCGATGTAGGCCTCAACCTCCCCAGCTAATAAAAGTTTTCTACCTCCCTCCGGCTCAAAAAGCTTGGTTCCCGGGGGCGTGGCCAGAGGGGCGGGGCCTGTGGGCGTCCTGGTGATGGTGCCTAGCAACGTCAGGGCCCGGGCCGCGAGGTAGTTGGCAGAGGCCTCGGGGTCCTCCTGGAAGGGGCCTCATGACAGATTCGGACGAGGTGCGGGCTGGGGAGAAGACTAACGCAAAGGCAGAGGGCCAGGCAGAGAGACCGAGGCTGGGTTCGCAGGAAAGGGTGAAGGCCGGGAGGGGCAGGGGCAGCAGTCCGACTCAGGGAAGGCCCTGGCCACCATGCCAAGAACCAGGGATGTGAGAGATCCTTGTAAGGCTCGGCGGCTGCTTGGACAGAGGTTTCTGTCTTGGGTAGCTGGTGGGGAAGGTGACCTCACCAAGATGGGAAAGCCTGGGGCAGAAGTCAGGTGAGGTGTTCAGTGTGGCCTGCTGGAGTGAGGGTCCTGAAGGGTACCCAAGGGGCTGTAGGACCCCCAAGGCCTGAGACTTGGGACCGGGCCTGAGCTGGAGACATCAGAGCTTGGGGTGTCAGTAGCCGGAAGTGGGAGCTGGGAAGGCCTAGGGGGGAGAGCAGATGGTGTTGTGTGAGGACCCTGATCCCTGACCTTGACCACAGGAGAGGGAGAAGGGCAGGACTGGAGAGGGACAGGTTGGCACGGCCCTAAGGGGAATGGGACTGGGAGTGCCACCGGACCCCCGAGTGGGAGTGCCTCCTTCCAGGCCTCATTTCTGCCTCTCCTCCCTCCCTGCAGAATGCTGGCGAGTATGTCAGTGGGTGGGGGTCATCTCAGGGGCCTGCTGCAGCTTGCTGTCCTTCGGTTCTAGGATGCCCTGAAGGTTGACCAGGGCCCCTCACAGGACATCCCAAAGCCATGGGTGATTCCAGCCCCCAAAGGGATCCTGCAGCACATCTTTGGAACCAGCCAGGTGTTCCAAAGCATCTGTGATGTAAAGCCAAAGGTCACGGGGTTAACAGTGCCCCTCAAAGTCAGGGAGTAGTGAGTGACTACCTTGCTTTGGGGTCCCAGGTTCCTGCCCGACACAGCCATTCACATACCGTGCAGCTTTGAGCCACTTACTCTGTTCGGGCCTCAGTGAACTCAACTGTCTAATGGGGCTCTTCCACCTCAGTGGAAATGAGGCTGATGGCCTGGCTGGACTCCAGGAACACCAGCCTGCCCTCCCTGGGCTTCTGTCTACTCCTCCTGCCTCTCTACCCAGCTTCCTTGCCTCCCACAATCCCCACCCCAGCCCTATGCTCTCGGCTGGTCCACAGTCAGGGCCACCCCTCTGCCTGTCCCCACTTTCTCCACAGCTACTCCAGAGGCCAGCAGTGCTTGGAGCAGGCAGACTGGGAGACAGCTGTGCTGTTCTTCTCCCGCGCGCTTCACCTGGACCCACAGCTGGTGAGAGGCAGACCTGGGTGGGCACAGGCAGTTGCTGGAACATGCTTCCTCCCTTCCTGTTGCACCTGCCAGATCCCTCCTCTCAGGGCCACCAAGTCCCTGATGGGAATTCGGTGTCAACCCTCAGCGGGGGCGGAGACTTTCCCCTACCCTCCAGGGGCAGATGGTGGGGAGGATCCAGCAGCCTGGGTCCCCTCACCCTTAGGTGGACTTCTACGCCTTGCGGGCGGAGGCCTACCTCCAGCTCTGTGACTTCTCCTCGGCTGCCCAGAACCTGCGAAGGGCCTACTCCTTACAGCAGGACAACCGCAAGCACCTGGAGCGCCTCACCTTTGTGCTCTACCTACAGGTGCCTGGGGCTGCCAGGGCCTATGCAGGGCACACACCTCACACCACTGGCTTTCCCTCCAGGGGCTCTCCTGGCTCCTGGGCCCAGCTCCGTCTCCTTGGATTCCTCCTTGTCCCTGTGTCTGGGTCCCCACCTGCTGCCCCTCTCACCTCCAAGGCTGGTTTAATGCCAGGGTTGAGTCAAGTTTGGCAACACTGTCCATTCGGGCTTTCTGCCATAATGACAGTGTCCAATATGCTACCCACCAGCCACGTGGAACTGTTGAGCCCTTGACATGTGGCAAGTGTGACTAAAGAACTGAATTTTATATCTTATTTTTATTTTATTATTATTATTGTTTTTGAGACAGAGTCTCGCTGTGTCACTCAGGCTGGAGTGCAGTGGCACGATCTCGGCTCACTGCAACCTCTGCCTCCCGGGTTCAAGCAATTCTCCTGCCTCAGCCTCCTGAGTAGCTGGGACTACAGGCACATGCCACCATGCCTGTCTAATTTTTTGTATTTTAGTAGAGACGGGGTTTCACTTTGTTGCCCAGGCTGGTCTCGAACTCCTGGGCTCAGGCAATCTGCCCGCCTCGGCCTCCCAAAGTGCTAGGATTACAAATGTGAGCCACTATGCTCAGCCTCTTATTTTTATTTTAATTAATTTAAATGTGTATAGCCACACAAAGCAGTGGCTATTGTCTTGGATGGGATGGCACAGATCTAGAGTCCAGAGGCTCTAAGCACTAAAAAGCTCACAGTGACCCCCAAGTGTATTTCAAAGGAAAAACAATATTAAACTATAAAACACCAACAAAGTGTTCCTTTTTTCCATTTTGATAATCTTGTTGTCTTTTTTTTTTTTTTTTTGAGACGGAGTCTTGCTCTGTTTCTGAGGCTAGAGCGCAGTGGTGCAATCTCAGCTCACAACCTCCACCTCCCTTATTCAAATGATTCTCGTGCCTCAGCCTCCCGAGTAGCTAGGATTACAGATGTGCATCACCATGCCTGGCTAATTTTTGTACTTTTAATAGAGATGGGTTTTCGCCATGTTGGCCAGGCTGGTCTCCAACTCCTGACCTCAAGTGATCTGCCCGCCTCGGCTTCCCAAAGTGCTGGGATTACAGGTGTGAGCCAATGCGCCTGGGCTTGATGTCTTTTGTTTATGTCAAAATATATTCAGTTCTTGGCCGGTTTGGGAGGCCAAGTAGGGCGGATCATGAGATCAAGAGTTTGAGACCAGCCTGGCCAACATGGTGAAACCCCGTTTCTACTAAAAATACAAAAATTAGCTAGGCGTAGCACACGCCTGTAATCCCAGCTACTTGGGAGGCTGAGACAGGGGAATCTCTTGAAACCAGAAGGCAGAGGTTGGGATGAGCCGAGATCGTACCACTGTACTCCAGCCTGGGTGACAGAACAGGACACTGTCTAAAAAAAAAAAAAAAAAAAAAAAAAAAAAAAAAAAAAAAAAAAAAAAAAAAAAAAAAAAATGTCTCAAAAAAAAAAAAAAAAAAAAAAAAATCTCTTCTTAAAAAGAAACATTTGGGGCTCTCAGACCATGTGCTGAATCTGTCTGTTGCGGGCCCGTGTCCTGCATGGCCACTTCCTGTGTGCCCTTATGCAAGTCACTCCACCTCTCTGAGCCTCAGTTCCTTTATCTATAAGAGAAGCATGCTAGTGCCAGTGAGAAAACAAGTTGAAGTTCTTAGCACAGGGCTCAGCACCCAGGACCCAGGGCCAGGCTACAGCATGTTCATGTTAGTTCTGTTGGTCTCTTCTGCCATCTGAGATTCTGTTTTTTGTTTGTTTGTTTGTTTGTTTGTTTGTTTTGAGATGGAGTCTCGCTCTGTCGCCCAGGCTGGAGGGCTGTGGCATGATCTCGGCTCACTGCAACCTCTGCTTCCCGGGTCCAAGCGATTCTCGTGCCTCAGCCTCCCGAGTAGCTGGGATTACAGGCATGCACTAACATGCTTAGCTGATTTTTGTATTTTTAGTAGAGACAGGGTTTCACCATGTTGGCCAGGCTGGCCTCAAACTCCTGGCCTCAAGTGATCCACCTGCCTCAGCCTCCCAGAGGGCTGGGATGGGATAACAGGCGTGAGCCACCGTGTCTGGCCCAGCCATCTGAGTTTTCTCCATTTCTCTTTGTTCCTGAATCTCTGTATTCCTGTCTCTTGCCAAGTGTGTATCTCTCACCGACTCTTGCTGTCTTTCCCCAGATCTGTATCTCTCTCCATCTCTCCATCTCTGTCTCTGTGTCTCTGCCTCTTCAAGTCTCTCCCAGATCTAAGAGGCTCTATCCTTGTCTCTTGTATCTCTCCCTCCTGCCTCAGGGCTTTCGGCTGCCAACCAGGGGGTGCAGCGGGGCTGGGGTGGCAAGCAGAATTGACTGTCCCCTGTGTCCCCAGGGGCAATGCCTTTTTGAGCAGTGTGCCTTCCTGGATGCCCTGAATGTCTTCTCACATGCTGCCGAGCTCCAGCCTGAGAAAGCGTGCTTCCGTTACCGATGGTGAGTGCCCCTGCTGGACCCTTCTCCCAGCAGCGGCTTCCTGACACCCCACCCGGGAACCAGAGCACTCTGTTCCCTCTGCCCTCAGCATGGCCTGTCTCCTGGCCCTCAAGCAGCATCCGGCCTGCCTCTCACTCATCACCGAGGAGCTGAAGCAGGACACCACCAACGCCGACGCCTACATTCTCCGGGGCAGACTCTACAACTTTCTCCAGAAGGTACAGTGGAGAAGGCGGGCAGGGGCGTGCCTCCCAACCTGGCGGTCATCAGTGTGCCCCAAGATTACAGGAGGTGGCAAGGCTGTCAGCTAGCCCAGAAGCCCCATCCCACAGTGCCGTGGGTGCTGTCCTCCCTGGGAAGAGGCCCACACTGGCCTGGACCACTCAGCTACCACTTCAGGTCCTTGTTCCACTGTTGCTCAGCCCTGGCTCTGTGCCAGGCCTGTGCTGTACCCCAAGGGAAGCAAAAGATGAGAGATTCATATCATCCCTGTCCGGATGGAGCTCGCAGCCTGGGGGAGGTATCCCTGGACAGATGAGTACACTACAAAGGATTTAGCCACAATCCTGTGAAGCCACACACGGGGACACCCAGGGCACCTAACATGAGTTAGCCCTTCTCCCTTCCCCTTCCTCCTTCCTCCCTTCCTCCCTCCTCCCTTCCCCCTTCCTCCCTCCTCCCTCCTCCATTCCTCCCTCCTCCCTTTCTCCCTCCTCCATTCCTCCCTCCTCCCTTCCTCCCTTTCCCCTTCCTCCCTTCCCCCATCTTCCTTTCCTCCTCTCCTTCCTTCTCCTCTTCCTCCCACTTCCTTTCTTTTTTCCTGTTTGCCTCAATGAATCACCCCTACCCCTGACCACCCGCACAACCTGGGCTGGGCACAGGGACAGACAGTACAGGAAACAGCTTGGGAGCAAGAGAAACTTGGGGTCACAAGGGAGGAGGTGGAGGGGGTGCTGGGCACCAAGGAGAGGAGGGCAGGGATGAGAAATCTCCCCGGAGGCAGTGGGAGCCTCCATCAGGTGTCCCCAGGGCAGGGAGCTTTAGGAAGATCATTCTGGTATCCGCAAGGAGTGTGGGTCGGAGGGGAGGCCTGGAGGCAGGAGCCTGAGAAGGAGGCTGGGCGCCACTGCAGAGTTGAGTGAGGCTGAGGGAAAGGTGGTCATGAGGGCAGCAAGGAGGGGCAAGTCCCACAGCCCTTCAGAAGGCAGGGCTGGAGTCTGGCTTGGGGGTGGGCTTGAAGGAAACAGAAGGATCCAGAAGGGTTCTGGCTTGGCCTGGGTGGATGGGGAGCTGGGAAACTAGGATGGGGAGGAGCAGGTGGGCGGGGTGGGGTGGGTTCATCTCATTCTCCAGGTGGGGACATCCTGGGGGCGGCTGAAATGCCAGCCTGCATTGCAGGAGGGAGCGCAGTCCACCCTGGCAGCTCCTCCCTGTGCCTTGGGACTGGGCTGTAGCGTCCCACAAGCGGTTCAGTGGCATGAGACTAGTAATTTGTTTTGTTTTGTTTTGTTTTGTTGAGACAGAGTCTCACTCTGTCACTCAGGCTGGAGTGTTCAAGCGATTCTCACGCCTCAGCCTCCTGAGTAACTGGGATTACAGGCGCCTGCCCAGCTAATTTCTGTATTTTTAGGAAAGACAGGGTTTCGCCAGGTGATCCCCCCTGCCTCAGCCTCCCCAAGTGCTGGGATTATAGGTGTGAGCCACCGCGCCTAGCTGAGAACTAGTAATTGATAATTATTGGTGACTGTTGCGATTTTAGCCCCTCCCATGTGTAGGCGTGTTCTCAGCGCTTTGCCCCTGTTTAACTGTGAGGCTGCAGCAACCCTTTGGGATAGAGACACACTGTCCTCTTTTCACAGAGGAAGAGCCACCCCCAGGTGACTTGCCCAAGGTCACACAGCCTGTTCCCAGTGGCACTGCCTGGAGCCCAAGGCTGCCTACTCCAAAGCCCTGCCCCTAGCTCCTGCCATTTCCCTCCCTCCATCCACCCATACCTGCCGTCCACTACACCCCGTTCGCCTGCCAGCCAGTCACCCCGCAGGGAACAGGGTGGTGTGGAACTGTCTGTTGCTGGGCTGAGCTGCGCCTTCCTCACCCGCCCCTGCTCCCGGTGGAAGGGACTTGCTGGGGGAGGTTTCCGCTGCACCCAGACCAGAATCTGGGCTTGGGCAGAGTGGTCTTGGGCTCAAAGGTCAGGGAGGGGAAGAGGGAGTGCAGGGGAGGGGAGGGAGGACACAACTGTCACAGTCAGGAGGTCACACGCTCCCCACACCTTGAGTGGGCTTCACAGAGGCCTGACAAGGAGGCAGCATCTGCAGAAACCACTGGGGTGGACCTGGCTCACCTCAGGTCATATCTGCAAAGGGCCAGCTGGCATGGGGCCTGGGATGGAATTTCCCCATGATGCTCCTTGTGTCCTTCAAGAGGTAGAAAGGGGCAGCTGGGCATGGTGGCCTCACCCGTGGCTCGTAATCCTGCACTTGGGAGGCAAGGGTGGGTGGATCACCCTAAGGTCAGGAGTTCGAGACCAGCCTGGCCAACATAGTGAAACCCCCATCTCTACTGGAAAAAAAAAAAAAAAAAATAGCCAGGTGTGTGGCATACACCTGCAGTCCCAGCTACTCGCCGGAGGCTGACGCGGGAAATCTATTGAACCTGGGAGGCGCAGAGGATGGCAAGTGAGGCCCAAGACCACACCAATTGGCACTCGCAGCCTGCGTGAGCAGAGTGACGAGACTCCACGTCAAAAACAAAAAAAAAAAAAAAAGCAGAAAAAGGGTGGGAGGTGGGCATGGAGGAGGCATGGTGTGAGCCACCCCTGCTAAGAAAGGCCTCCTAGGATCCCATGGCTGCAGTTGACCTGTGCCCCCTGAATGCCACCCCCTGGCCTCCAATGGCAGCCCATCTCTGCTACCCCAC